TATTCGTCAAACATAATAAGCTTGAGTGTTCTCCCTTGGTTTGTTTTCCCCCACATAAGAATTAAAACAAGGTAACAGACTATCAAATCACAACAATGAATGCAATGTATAATTTTAATCTCGAAACTAAATTCGACTTCTACAACATCTTTAACTTTCTTTCAGTTCCTATTCTTTCTTTATAAACTAGTTATATATATATATATATATATATATATATATATATATATATATATATATATATATATATATATATATATATATATATATATATATATATATATATATATATATATATAAAACCAGTCGCTTCGGGTAGATGAGGCTCGTAAACCTTGGATGGTTGCTCATCTAGGAGAAGGAATGCTCTGATTCCAAACATCCGCTGCCTTGCGGCTATACCTACTCATAAGAAAGGCTAAGGGAGTAAACCAAAAAAGAAAATACGGAGACGGAGTCCGTAAGGCGGTCTGACATTGACATAAATACCATTCCGGCAACTCATGCGATGATGTTGGTGCCAAGTTGTATCGGCATTAACCATTCCCTTGGGAACACCAACTGCATGGAGAGGGGGGATCTGCTGCATGGACAACAGCTGATTCTCCATACTACTCTGCCCAGGCTTTGTAGCTCAACTGGAGAGGACACTCCAGCGTCGCCGTAAGGTGTCTGCACAACACGGGAAGCAGCAGTTTACCGGTTATAAGCAATAGCTCGATTGGCGTAGAGCTTAGCGCCAAGGGTTGCTTCAGACAGTGGGAGAGACTGCCATGTCTCATTGGATAGCTACCGCCCGTCTCAAGCTGGGCAGCCCCCAGACAGTAAGGTGCTATCCCGCCAGGGCCTACTTGTTTCACTGGGTGCGTAAAGCTTAGGGAACATTCTCGACACGTAGGCCAAAATCAATACACCAGGCAAGACTAAAAAAAAAAAGAGAAGAACAAAAAGACTACAGTTTTCGCAAGCTTTTTCAAGCTGGAACGTCAGGACCATGTGTACTGGACTTACCGATGACCTGCAGCAGGATGAAAATGCACGGAAGACTGTCGTAATTGACCGGGAAATTTCCCAACTGAATGTCCACATTGCCGGCCTTCAGGAGACCAGACTAGCTGACAGCGGCACCCTCAGGGCAACCACCTACACCTTTTTTTTTTGGCATGGCATGGAAAGTCCTCCAATAAACCTAGACAGTGTGGTGTAGGCTTCGCTGTAAAGAATACGCTCATCGCCTTCATTGAGCCTCCATCATCAGGCACTGAGAGGATCCTAACCTTTAGGCTGTCAACATCCTCAGGCCCAGTCAACATCTTGAATGTGTACGTTCGAACCCTCTGCTTCACCCCAGAGGAGAAAGACCAATTCTATGAGGCTTTGGATCAAGTAATATCTAGTATCCACAACACTGTAGGGCTCTACATACTAGGAGACTTCAATGCTAGAGTGGGAGATGACCACGAGGCCTGCCCAGCTGTCTCTACACTCATGGAAGGGGAAAGATCAATAAGAACGGTCAGCGACTGCCGGAGATGTGCTGTTCACACAGCCTATGCGTGACCAACACTTACATCAAATGCAAGGAAATTCACCAGGTATCATGGAGACATTCACGTTCACGCCACTGGCACCAATTAGACCTCGTCATCACAAGGCGTGCGAAACTGGACAGCGTCCTACTCACTCTCAGCTACCACAGCGCCGACTGCGACACGGACCACTCCCTGGTGACTAGCAAGGTGCGAATAACACCCAAGAAGCATCACCACACCAAGAAGAAGGGTCGCTCACTCATAAATGCATGCTGTGTAAACAAACCAGAGAAGACGAAGCAGTTCATCAGCAAGCTGCAGGAAGATCACACCATCGACTCTATGTGGTCTCACCTCCGAGACACTGTGTACAACTCAGCCATTAATGATTATGGGAATATGGATCTGAAAAATGCCGACTGGTATGAGGCCAGCTGGAATACTATGGAGCCAGTGACTGAGGCGAAGAGGAAAGCCCTTCTGGCTTTCAAGGCTGCGCCTAGCCCTACTACACTACAAGCCTTCAGGATTACCAGGAAAAATGCCCAGCGGACTGCTCGCCACTGCGTCAACACCTATTGGCTGAATCTCTGCACTAGCATATAAACAGCTGCTGACACTGTAGATACAAGAGGTATGTACGAGGGCATCAAGAAGACGACAGGTCCCCCATCTCTCAAGACGCCCCCCCCCTTAAGTCCAAGACGGGAGTGATCATAATAGACCAGGAGAAACAGCTAAAATGCTGGGATGAGCACTATCACGAACTGTATGCAACCCAAACCGTCGTCACCAATACTGCCCTGAACACTATCCCAGACCTGCCAATCATGGATGAACTAGAAACTCCACCCTCCATGGAAGAGCTTATGGGAAGGCCCCTGGGAGCGACGGCATCCCATTTGATATCCTCAAGAGCGGGAAACCGGCACTACTCCAGCCCTTGCACGAACTCAGTTTTATGTCACAACACTCGGTTGCAGTTTCCGTTACCGTAAAGCAGTTTTCTTTGACTGACAACTGTGACCGCAGATAACTATTAGTCACCATGTTCGGTGAAAACACGAAATCACCTTATGTTTCATAAAATGCACGTCACAGAGGTGAAGCTAACAACGAAGTAAATCACTTCAGTGAAAGTCCCAAAATTAGCTGATATGGAAATGTTCCTGTTGCGCGAATGAATTGGCTGTCCATTCGAGAGAAAAAAAAGCAGATTTGCTAGCTACTGGCTTTTAATATTGTCTTGCAAATTTATCCCGGGCACAAGAGAACAAGGTTAGTTAAGCTTAAGTGTTACGCTGCCTCAATATAACGCAAATGCAGGGGCACCCGAATATATATTATGTGTAGGGTGGTAAGAATATAGTGGTTTTATGTGGCTTTTAAGTTTTACGATTGTAGGCGGTCAAAACATATTTAGTGGACACAACCACCCCGCCCTTGTGTGCGGAGGCTCACGAACAAACAAATTGAATCGTGTAGCCTACAATTTACGGTCACAAGAGGTCCGTGGTAAATTTTGTTTTGCAATTCACATCTTCCAGCATTTTATTTGGAGAAAGTACGATACAAATCATCGACTTTTCCTAATCTTTGTTTTGTACTATTTTTCACAGAACCCATCACTTGTATGAAGTATTTCATGTCTTCGGCGCCAAAAAAAAACCTAGTAATTTCTTATCAAGATAGTGACACTATTAAATTTTCCCACTTTTCGAATTTGTATCTGTGCTTATAGATGTCGAAAATGAAAGGATTATGTTTTGTTTTCTTTCTTTTTTTCCATTTTTGTATTTGGATATGTTAACGAGAAATCCCGGTATAAATGCACCAGAAAGTGAGACATTTCAAACTGTGAGGTAGTGCAGCAAATTTACGCTCAGACTGTAAATTCTAGAAGTAAAATGATCTGCTAGTTTGTTTCTTTTCTTACATTATTGGGCATTTCCTGCCACCAATTAATTATCCATGAGGACTTGCTCTGGACTTAAAGTTAATTTCTATGAAGACTTATCCTGGACTTAGAATTAATTGTCTATGAAGACTAATCCTAGACTTGAGATAATTGTCTATGAAGATTTATACTGGACTTAAAATTATTTGTCTATGAAGACTTATCCTGGACTTAAATTTAATTGTCTATAAAGACTTATACTGGACTTAAAAATGAATTGTCTACGAAGACTTATCCTGGACTTAAATTTAATTGTCTATACAGACTTATACTGGACTTAAAATTAACTGTCTATGACTCTGGATTAAGATTTTTTTTTATAGAATCCAGTCAAATAATTTGTTGCGGTTTAAGTTTTACTTAAGAATGAGTTATCAAATATATTAAATTTTGACTTGACTTGAATACTAAAAGTTGTCAAATTGGGGAATGAACGTATACAAAATATGGATATTTCTCTCATTATTGTTAGCTAAAATCACCCAAAATTACAAGGCCATTTGCATGTCAGATCAATACAGGTAAAATATTTCATTTTTTAAAACGTAACAGAAAATTTAGAAAAAGAGAAATACAATGCTATCATATATTATTGACTAATGTCTGGAAAGTATTACAGATATGAAAATGTTTTAACTGCATGGCAACACTACAAGTTGTAAAACCGATGATACTTATTTCAACAAAGTTGCGAATTTATGCAGTCACATAATGTTATCGCTGCATTTAATTAAATGTATAATCGTTGTGCTGATGAAAAGGTGAGCAAATTACAGATTGCATTGTAAGTTGTTCTTAAGAGATTTATTGTAATCCTTTTAACGATATAAATAACGGCTGATGACGCCTTGCAAATGATCATTATCCGTTTCATTCAAGCGCTTTGTACAATTATGTTTACAATCGGATAATGTCAACGTATTAAATTATTGATGCACGCACACTTCAAGTACTATAAATGAAAAAGTAATGTCGTAAAATTGCGATATCTTGTTTACCACATCTCCGATAAAATCATATGATATCCTATGTCGTACAATGTATTTGCATTACACTTGGCATTTGTAAAGAAATATAAGTCCAGGGACATTTACTTGTATTCATATTCTTTCATACAAAGTTTTGTTTAAAAACTTCACGTGTCTGAAAGACTAGTACTTCGCTTCTTGTGGAGAAAAAAATGCTTTATAGACTGGTACTTTGCTTGTTGTGAGCAAACGGATGTTTTATAGAATGGTACGTTTCTTGTGTGTGTGTGTGTGTGTGTGTGTGTGTGTGTGTGTGTGTGTATGTGTGTGCTCTAACAATTTTTCAGTCATATTGCTGCGATGTTTGTAGTGTGACATTTTTCAGTGGTGTTTAGCTCTGGGGAATCATGAAGTAGATATGCAGCATGATGTCCCAACCAGTCACATTATCCTGACACCAGGCCTACCAGTCCTAACACTTACCTCTTAATGCTGTGCGCCAAGCGAGGAAGCTGTTAGTACCATGTTTATAAGTCTTTGGTATGACACGGCTGGGGTTCAAACCCACGACCTCCTACATCCGAGAGGGACGCTATAACCACTAAGCCACCTGTGCGGTTTTCTTCTTTTTGGGAAAACGTATACTATAGACTGTTTTATTATTAGATTTTAAAACTTACATTTGATACAGATTCCCATATTTGCTTATAGGTAGTCCATGGATGGCTTATTGGCCTTTGACAGAGAGGGTATACAAAAATAAAAAAAATTCTTGGTCAAACAGATAATTAGGCAAAACAAAAAATCCCAAACCATTGTTGTTAGCACAGACTGACAGTATGAGCTGAGTGAAGTGATAGAATGTATTCATTTGTATACAGAGAGAGAGAGAGAGAGAGAGAGAGAGAGAGAGAGAGAGAGAGAGAGAGAGAGAGAGAGAGAGAGAGAGAGAGAGAGAGAGAGCCGGATAGAAATAGAGAGACAGAGTGAGAGAGAGAGAGAGAGAGAGAGAGAGAGAGAGAGAGAGAGAGAGAGAGAGAGAGAGAGAGAGAGAGAGAGAGAGAGAGAGAGAGAGGCGTGGCTTTGTTATTTCATTGGGTGCAACTTGCAACACTAGCATAATTTGTTTATTCAGTATTTAGACAGGTGGATGTTTGGTAGGTGGATGTTCGGGTTTCTTGATGAACAGATGCATTGATTTTTACCAATCGATCGATTAATGACGTAATTAATCCAGCTCTGTTTAACTCAAATTTTACAATTAAATTAACTAAAACACAAAAAAACTGATTTATATATATATCGTAGACACTTATAAAAATTGTGTAAAGTCACTTATGTTGTGCGTGTGTGAACATTCAAAATATCTATTTTCATTTTTACATTTTTCTTTGCCTGAACACGATATCTGCATAGCTCTTTTTCAAAACTTTGTTTCAGCACTAAGTATTCAATGACATTGTTGCATTCCCATCTGCTTTAAAACAAAATATGTATTTTTATGTGTGCTCTCTTTTTTAGGTGAATTCTGGTTATGGTGGACATTGGTGGTCTTATTAAGGTTGGCTTTGGGGAAATCTGATTAGGATGGGCCTTAGTGAAATTTGATTAAGATGGGCCTTAGTGGAATCTGATTAGGATGGGCCTTGGTGGAATCTGATTAGGATGGGCCTTGGTGGAATCTGATTAGGATGGGCCTTGGTGGAATCTGATTAGGATGGTCCTTGGTACAATCTAATAAGGATGGGCCTTGGTGGAATCTGATTATGATGGGCATTGGTGGAATCTGACTAGAATGGGCCTTGATAGAATCTGATTAGGATGGGCCTTGGTGGAATCTGACTAGAATGGGCTTTGGTAGAATCTGATTAGGATGGGCCTTGGTGGAATCTGACTAGAATGGGCTTTGGTAGAATCTGATTAGGATGGGCCTTGGTGGAATCTGATTATGGTGGGCCTTGGTTAAAGCTGATTAGGATGGGCCTTGGTAGAATCAGATTAGGATGGGCCTTGGTGGAATCTGATTAGGATGGGCCTTGGTGGAATCTGATTAGGATGGGCCTTGGTGGATTTTGATTAGAATGGGCCTTGGTGGAATCTGATTATGATGGGCCTTGGTAAAATCTTATTACAATGTGCCTTGGTGAAGGTAAATAAGGAATACGTGTACATAATTGTGCAAACAATTAACAGTCCTGTTGCATTTGAGGTTGTAATCATAAAAGTGAAATGTTAATGGATGGAACTAGTTTTAATGTTTCTTAAAATGATAAATCTAATCTTGTTATTAGAAACTTTTATATGAATATATATATATATAGACATATATGTGTGTATATGTATCTATATATATATATATATATATATATATATATATATATAGAAATATATGTGTGTATATTTATCTATATATATATATATATATATGCATACATATGCATGTATATATTTATGTATTATATATATATATATATATATATATATATATATATATATATATTATTTTAAGAGATAGACTCTGTAAAAAGTTATTAAAGTTTCATCACTTTTACTATACTTCACCTAGTGTTTTCTTTTAAGTATTATACGATAAAAAAAGATCAAGCACAGACCCATGCGTGCAGAAAATTTATGTACACCAGAGATGTAATTAATGAATTTATTTTATGAACATGATGTCTATATAAGAGTCCATTCGCAAACTATCATAAATCTATGAACCAAAAACCACTATGTTTGGGATGTTTCTGGACCTTGGTAAATTAAATCTATGAACCAAAAGCCACTATGTTTGGGATGTTTCTGGACCGTGGTAAATAGCTGATTTCAGTAAAACGGAACAGAGTCCATTCTCAAACTATCATAAATCTATGAACCAAAAACCACTATGTTTGGGATGTTCCTGGACCGTGGTAAATAGCTGATTTCAGTAAAACGGAACAGAGTCCATTCTCAAATTATCATAAATCTATGAACCAAAAACCACTATGTTTGGGATGTTTCTGGACCGTGGTAAATAGCTGATTTCAGTAAAACGGAACAGAGTCCATTCTCAAACTATCATAAATCTATGAACCAAAAGCCACTATGTTTGGGATGTTCCTGGACCGTGGTAAATAGCTGATTTCAGTAAAACGGAACAGAGTCCATTCTCAAACTATCATAAATCTATGAACCAAAAGCCACTATGTTTGGGATGTTCCTGGACCGTGGTAAATAGCTGATTTCAGTAAAACGGAACAGAGTCCATTCTCAAACTATCATAAATCTATGAACCAAAAGCCACTATGTTTGGGATGTTCCTGGACCGTGGTAAATAGCTGATTTCAGTAAAACGGAACAGAGTCCATTCTCAAACTATCTTAATCTATGAACCAAAAGCCACTATGTTTGGGATGTTCCTGGACCGTGGCAAATAGCTGATTTCAGTAAAACGGAACAGAGTCCATTCTCAAACTATCATAAATCTATGAACCAAAAACCACTATGTTTGGGACGTTCCTGGACCGTGGTAAATAGCTGATTTCAGTAAAACGGAACAGAGTCCATTCTCAAACTATCATAAATCTATGAACCAAAAGCCACTATGTTTGGGATGTTCCTGGACCGTGGTAAATAGCTGATTTCAGTAAAACGGAACAGAGTCCATTCTCAAACTATCATAAATCTATGAATCAAAAACCACTATGTTTGGGATGTTTCTGGACCGTGGTAAATAACTGATTTCAGTAAAACGGAACAGAGTCCATTCTCAAACTATCATAAATCTATGAACCAAAAGCCACTATGTTTGGGATGTTCCTGGACCGTGGTAAATAGCTGATTTCAGTAAAACGGAACAGAGTCCATTCTCAAACTATCATAAATCTATGAACCAAAAACCACTATGTTTGGGATGTTCCTGGACCGTGGTAAATAGCTGATTTCAGTAAAACGGAACAGAGTCCATTCTCAAACTATCATAAATCTATGAACCAAAAGCCACTATGTTTGGGATGTTCCTGGACCGTGGTAAATAGCTGATTTCAGTAAAACGGAACAGAGTCCATTCTCAAACTATCATAAATATATGAACCAAAAGCCACTATGTTTGGGATGTTTCTGGACCGTGGTAAATAGCTGATTTCAGTAAAACGGAACAGAGTCCATTCTCAAACTATCATAAATCTATGAATCATAAACCACTATGTTTGGGATGTTTCTGGACCGTGGTAAATAGCTGATTTCAGTAAAACGGAACAGAGTCCATTCTCAAACTATCATAAATCTATGAACCAAAAGCCACTATGTTTGGGATGTTCCTGGACCGTGGTAAATAGCTGATTTCAGTAAAACGGAACAGAGTCCATTCTCAAACTATCATAAATCTATGAACCAAAAACCACTATGTTTGGGATGTTTCTGGACCGTGGTAAATAGCTGATTTCAGTAAAACGGAACAGAGTCCATTCTCAAACTATCATAAATCTATGAACCAAAAGCCACTATGTTTGGGATGTTTCTGGACCGTGGTAAATAGCTGATTTCAGTAAAACGGAACAGAGTCCATTCTCAAACTATCATAAATCTATGAATCAAAAACCACTATGTTTGGGATGTTTCTGGACCGTGGTAAATAGCTGATTTCAGTAAAACGGAACAGAGTCCATTCTCAAACTATCATAAATCTATGAACCAAAAGCCACTATGTTTGGGATGTTCCTGGACCGTGGTAAATAGCTGATTTCAGTAAAACGGAACAGAGTCCATTCTCAAACTATCATAAATCTATGAACCAAAAACCACTATGTTTGGGATGTTTCTGGACCGTGGTAAATAGCTGATTTCAGTAAAACGGAACAGAGTCCATTCTCAGACTATCATAAATCTATGAACCAAAAACCACTATGTTTGGGATGTTTCTGGACCGTGGTAAATAGCTGATTTCAGTAAAAACGGAACAGAGTCCATTCTCAAACTATCATAAATCTATGAACCAAAAACCACTATGTTTGGGATGTTTCTGGACCGTGGTAAATAGCTGATTTCAGTAAAACGGAACAGAGTCCATTCTCAAACTATCATAAATCTATGAACCAAAAGCCACTATGTTTGGGATGTTCCTGGACCGTGGTAAATAGCTGATTTCAGTAAAACGGAACAGAGTCCATTCTCAAACTATCATAAATCTATGAACCAAAAGCCACTATGTTTGGGATGTTCCTGGACCGTGGTAAATAGCTGATTTCATTAATACGGAACAGAGTCCATTCTCAAACTATCATAAATCTATGAACCAAAAGCCACTATGTTTGGGATGTTCCTGGACCGTGGTAAATAGCTGGTTTCAGTAAAACGGAACAGAGTCCATTCTCAAACTATCATAAATCTATGAATCAAAAACCACTATGTTTGGGATGTTTCTGGACCGTGGTAAATAGCTGATTTCAGTAAAACGGAACAGAGTCCATTCTCAAACTATCATAAATCTATGAACCAAAAGCCACTATGTTTGGGATGTTCCTGGACCGTGGTAAATAGCTGATTTCAGTAAAACGGAACAGAGTCCATTCTCAAACTATCATAAATCTATGAACCAAAAACCACTATGTTTGGGATGTTTCTGGACCGTGGTAAA